TTTTACAACTTCCTTTCAAAGTTTTTTTGTGAACCCAAAAATCAAGGCTTTCATCATGTTTTCTGTGCTAATTTGAGTCATAAATTCAAAATCAAACAGTTCGAAGTAACCAAAAAGGGATTTTTTGAAATCGATCTAATAGTTGAGATTGTGTGGTCAGTATTGTTTTGCCAACTCGAGGTTTTGGTGAAGCTCTTTATTACATCAGTGGCCTAACGTTTCGACTACTCGTCATCTTCAGAGGCCTAAAGCGGTGCGGGATTAGCGATATTATGTCTGCCCCACCAAGTGCTTCATCGACCCTTGGATAGTTTCTCGATCCCCCCTCGAGTTTTACAAGCAAAATTCGCAAGATGGGAAAGACGAACGCACCATTGCTCCACCGCCGGTGCACTTGATGGTATGTGCGACCGCTTCCTTGGTGACAGTAGTGCCAATAAGCCACATTGAGCAGCTCATTGTTAGATGTAATCATCGCACTACCCTATCATAGCTCACAGAGTGACAAAAACGGCATGAGGTCATTCGTAACGGCTAAGCACTCGTTTCTGTTGTTCATAAGCGGTTTTCTGCGCGTGATCCAAAATGCTTCGAGAGCTTTCCGAGCAGAGGTATCTTCTTCATAAGCCAATATTGTACACTTGATTTCGTAGTCTTCGCCGCAATGGTACTCATGTCTATGTTTCCCGAGAGGCGAGACTAGATTACCTTTTCGTTTATTGGCGAGATGTTCTCTAACTCTCACGCCAAGTGCTCTTCCGGTTTCTCCTATATAGCTAGCTCCACAAACTAAACATTCTATCTGATATATTACTCCCGTCTTCGCGCAGTCACCAATGCTGCTATATGGACAAATAACGCACTCTTTCGAGATACAATATTTGTCATAGAGCCTGTTTCGTACAAGCCGTTTCTTTAAATTATCGTTCGGAACATTTACTAAAATGATATCGTCGCTTAGCTGCGCTCGTTTAATACTCTGCCGTATTGCAACACAGATTTCATCCGAGACAAAAGGAAGACAGAGCGCTATTTTGTTGTTATATTGAGCGGTATTATGTGAGGAATATGGTCTACCACGAGCATGATGCATCAGATAGCCATTGTTCCTCGCGATGCTCAGTGCAACATTTCGCGACTCTTTCTGCTCTTCTTCTCCCGTACACACTTGTGTTGCTGTTCTAAACATATTTCGGATAACGGCATTCTTGACGGCTGATGGATGTGCCGAGCGAGCATGTAATAAGATGTTTTTAGAGCTATTCTTACGATACCATTTAACATTTGTGTTGCAGCCAGACAGTTTGATTTGAACGTTCAAGTACGGAAGCCAACCATCAACCGGCTGTTCGCGCGTGAATCTTATGTACTGAGACTGCTGATTGAGCAATCGGAAACACTCGTCCATTTCGGACTGAGTGGATGTTACAATACAGCAGTCATCTATGTAGCGACAGTACATAAGTGGAAGTCTTGACAGCACGGGTTGTTCGATCCTGCTCATGAAACATATTGCAAGAACTGGAGCAAGCCGTTGTCCCATTGCAAGTCCTCTTACTTGAGCAAAGTAGGTGCCTGACCATCTAAAGATATTACAATTCAAACACTCTCGGATCAGGACCATGATGTGATGCTTGCTCAATCCAAAGGTTTGAATGCTCGCACTAAATTCATCCATCATTTCAGATACCGCTTGTAAAGCGTCTTCATTTTGGACGTTAGTATACAGAGATACTACGTCAAATGATTCAGCTATACATCCATTTTCAAATTTACACGATTTTAAGCGGTCGAGGAATTGTTTAGTGTTCGCAAAATGGGAAGGTATTTTGTCCAGTAATTGCCCAACAATCTTATTCAAAAACCAAGATATTCTATCGGTTGGACCCCCAGTACAGCTTACTATAGGTCTTATCTGAAACTGTCTGGCTGCCATCGAGCAAATGTCGTCATCTTTTGTAAGCTTGTGGGTCTTCAAAAGGCTATAGAAATCCGGAAAACTTGGCGTATCGAGCTTGAGTCTGCTAAGAAAGCTTTCGTTGAGGCCAGCTGCTTTGCCTGTGCTCATCCAAATATGATTCAATCTCTTGTACTGCGAATGATATTCCTTTTCGGATACTCGCTGGTACACGCTCTTGTCATTGAGATGAAGCTCAGTGATTTCTCGATCGAGATTCTGAGGTATGACCACAAATTCTCCACCTTTATCACTGACGGAGATGCGCACTTTCTCAGATCTTATCAAATCGCGTACTTCCCTATATCCAAGCATTTCCGAGTGAGTCAAGTTAGTGCGGCGATATGGTTTTGGCTTTTGGAAGCGGTCGCACATACCATCAAGTGCACCGGCGGTGGAGCAATGGTGCGTTCGTCTTTCCCATCTTGCGAATTTTGCTTGTAAAACTCGAGGGGGGATCGAGAAACTATCCAAGGGTCGATGAAGCACTTGGTGGGGCAGACATAATATCGCTAATCCCGCACCGCTTTAGGCCTCTGAAGATGACGAGTAGTCGAAACGTTAGGCCACTGATGTAATAAAGAGCTTCACCAAAACCTCGAGTTGGCAAAACAATACTGACCACACAATCTCAAGTATGCCGAGGTTTCAGCAAGAGAGGACGAAAAACTTACGATCTAATAGTGTTTTTTTTGTTAACCGTTATGCGTTGGTATGCCTGCGTAAAAGCACACGTTCTCAAAGATGACCATTGCATGCACCAAAGTGGATATTTCTCGTAAATTGACCATTCAGTTATGCATATATATAGTGCATTTTCCAAATGGGTGGAGTTGGAATTCGTATACCGGAATTTGCCACTTTGATTTCCTTTGCTCTTTCTCATTACAAGTCTTATCAACACCAATTCTCATGTAAATTATGCTCATTCACTGTACATACTTATGTGAGAAGAACAAAGCACGTAAATATCGAGAAATTTTGCGAAGTTTTTGACTTCGTTTCACAACTAAAATTTTTTTATGGAAGTGTTTGTATCTTTACAAATGTTTACCCTGTGTCTTTTCTACAAATTATCAACTGCCTCTATAACGTTTATGTGCAAAAATTTGATATCAAGTCAACAGCTTCTTCATAACCGCTTCTAATTTATCAGCTGTTTTCCTGATAAGCTAAGGAAGTTCCTGCTTGTAAGAACTCCACACTCTTGCCATGTGCCGGTGCCGTTCCAGCGCCGTGTCAGCGCGATGCTGGCGCCATGCCAGGCCGGCGTTCACGTGGGCGCCCTGTATCTTGAATTAGCTTCCAGTGCAGCGTAAAGGCGTTTTCAATATTGTAACATAATGCTAGCATTGTAAGCGATGGCATACGTACCATTCTGGTTCTTTTCCATGGAACATTTCTTTTGTCTTCTTTTTCAAGTCTTTCCTTTGTAGCTTTTAAAGCATTGTCTGCCCTAAATTAGGGCAGACAATGCTCTTGAGCTTTCGGTACCATACAAAAGCACGGTCGCCTACCAAGAAATTACCCAAATCGCGAAAATATCGCTTTAGAAGCGAGAAAATCGCGTTGGAAAACGGAAAGAGCAGAGGACCATTAGGCGGCAACGCCCCTCAAGTAATGCCCGCATTCCTGCACGCCCTCTAATCGCCGTTCCCGCGGAAATCCGATCCGCGGGTTCTCCAAAACGGGGATTGTTGGGATTTGCAAATTCTCAATTTTTGGAATCAGGGACTGAGAAGACCCCGGACCGACAAAGCGGTCACCTTGGCTCGGCTTTGCGCTGCGTTTGCGACGGTTTTCTAAGCACTTTCCCAGGCTCAATTATTGATTGAAACGCGTCTCTGATTTTTTTTTTCGAATGTTCGTGGGAAAATGATCAGGCAACCCGTTCGCGACCGTGACGTCGGGTCCGGCGAGGCGGCTGCGCGGTACCTGAGCAGTTCGAGTCGGGCTCTCGCTTCAAATGAGAAAAAGGGTAATTTAGTTCCTGCAACTTATTTTTCTGGTTCCTGCGGAGGATTTACTTTGAAAGAGCACAGGAATTCAATTTTAACCTAATCTCAGCGTACGACGCGCACCTTTCTCGAATTTCCAAACAAGCCGCTCATCCGCTTCACTGTATTTCGCGAAGCGTCTTGTGTCGCACGATTCTCTCAAGCACGGTATAGGGTCCTTTGGTTGCGAGACCTTTCCCGCATTTGGGCTGGTCAACTTTGGAAGAAACCCCCGCCCCTTGTACGCGTGAAATTAGGTGATAATTACCAAAGATTACCGAACCTGAGCGACAGACTATATTGAAGCGATATTGAAGCAAACAATAAAAGATGGTCATAAATCATGTGTTCCAAAATCCACCTATCGCAGCGCATGCCGCCTGCGAAATGCGCTCGCGGGCGTTTGCAGCGCGGTGCCCTGTGTTGCCACATGGACAGCTATGTACGAATACTGCCTTATGCACGGGCAAAAACCAAAACAAAAACATTGTAGGAACTGTGAATATGTGAGGTTTGATCAGCACATTTCGAAAATTTCCTAAACTGCTTCTGCGTACATACACCAGTGCCGCAGACTCAGGCGTATTTCAATGTAATTGATCGACGCCTATAATTTCAACATCTGAGCAAAATAGTGATGTTTCATTAAAATGGTATGAGGAGAGGGGGGAAACTTCCATTACATTGCTCATTTCAATGCGAGCTGTTACACTCTTCCTCAGTTCGCTTCTACCCAGGCAGTAGTCTTCGGCACAGATCATGAGACACCGGTAAGCAAAATAAGTTAATGATTGGCACCAACAAACGTTTATACAGCTTGTACATATTCTTTTTTTTTAGGATAAACGCGCTATAATCGAGCAGTATTTAGAATGCTTAAAAAATTGCGTTAAAGAACCTTCTGGAGACTATCAAGTTTCTTGCGGTAAATGTGTAGCACTTCTCCCACAAACTCCTAAAAATCCACATGAGACACCGGTAAGCAAGAAAGGCTAATAGTTGGACCCAACAAACGTTTGTACAGCTTGCACATCTTCTCTTTCCAGGACAATCGCGCTAACCTGGAGCAGTATGTAGAATGCTTGAAGAATTGTGTGATAGGACTTCCTAAATACAATCAAGTTGCTTGCAGTGACTGTGATTTCCTTTTTTCAAATGGAACAGCTCTTCCTCCAAATTCTGTGAATCAACTTGTACCAACTCACCCTCGAAATCCTTCAAATCCGGGTGGACCAACTTACCGTCCAGATTATGTAAACGCAAATGGAACTTATCTTCAAGGCTCTATAAATCCAAATGGACCAGCTAACCCTCCTAATTGTGTGAACCCAGACGGTTCAACTTATTCTCGAGACTTTGTGAATCCAAATGGACCATCTTACCCTCAAAAATTTTAATTCAAATGGACCAACTTACCCTAAAAATTTTGTGAATCCAGGTGGATCAACTTATCCTCCGAACTCTGCAAATCCAAATGGACTAATTTACCTTCTTTTTCCTGTAAAACAAGATAAACCAACTTACACTCGAAATTCTGTAAATCCAAATGAACCAACTTACCCTCTCGTGTAAATCCACGAAAGTCAGATGATAGAAACACTATAGATTCAGATGAATCAAATTCTATGGGTAAATATGTCCTCCCAAATTCAGATGAACTAGATTATCCGTATCGTTTTGTAAAGCGTTGAGTTGAGAAATAAATACTGTTCCATTACTGGTAAAACAAAGGATAAAGGACTCGTTTTTTTTGATATTCTATGCGAGCATGCGCCGAACGCATTCTATTTCTTATCAAAAGGCTGTTGAACACAGAAGAAAATCGGTAAGTTGCTCATGAGTAAATTAAAGGGTGCTTCAGCCGACGTGAACTACAGTAGTTCTTAGGATTTCACATGTTTTTCTTCCTAGTGGGGCCAAAAAGTTGGGATTGCTTTTCCTTTCAGTTTCTTGCTCTTGCTAAGCCCTTTGTCGCGTTGCACTTTGCGCTGTTATCATTCTTGTAAAACAGTATTTCCCTCGATTTGCCATTTTCACATACATTCTTTTTAACAATATCGACTGCAAATTTTCCTATAATGACGCCCCAGCACTATGTTGTTTCCGTTTTTTGCTCATATCAATAAAGATCTTGACTGATACAGCGCTAGGCGACGTAGCTTCAAATTAGGCTACCCTCAGCTGACCTAGGATGACGAAGGTTTACTACGAGCTATCGTCTTTGACACACAAGCTTATTTCATGTAGATTTGGAAAAAGTGGCTACATTTCACGGTGTGCTGCTGATACAGACGTGAATCACAATTTCTCATGTTCAAACAAACGTGATGCTTGCTGCCCACTTAACTGAATTACTGGCTTCTCTTAAAACCGTAAAAGAGGTGTAGACCGCTTTCATTAATCTATCAAGGCATTTACACAGAAGAGACTAAAGTCTCTCTTTACAAACTTTGCGGCTACTTTGGCATAATCAGTAGGAAAAGAGAAAATGAAAAAGAAAGCCCGCGACACCTTCAAACAACTCAGGTTGGCTGCTAATTACTGCGCAAAACTGCTTTCTCCCTGTTTAAAGCCACTCCCTTTCTGCGAAACCTTGCCTCAACGCGACATTCAACATGGGATCCACTGCTGAGTATAGGGCTTTCTACAGTACTTTCAAATTTTTTCCTCTCCGAATAGTTACACTGAAATTCTCTTTCTACAGAACCTACACTGATCTGAACTGCCATTTTTGCCATTTCATAATGAACGCTCTGAAATCTTTGAAAATAAACACGCAGAAAGATGCATCTGTCACCTTAGTCTGCGACCTTTGCGTCCGCATCGCCGTATTTCGATTTCGAGCCGCGCCACTTTTGCCTGCGGCGGCTTTTGCCTGAAGAAAAGACTTGGAAGGAGATTTGAAAAGGAGCTTCTGAAGAAGTAATGCTTCTTATGTGTCCATCTCTCTAATCGAAAAAAACCGCATAACGCGATGGAGGCAAAGAATCTGATCGCAGGCTGTCTCTAAAGCTACTTCATGAGATTTCAGCTGCCTCTTGCGATTTGGCATTTTGCCAGTCTTCTTCATATCTGACACTGCAGACCATAAATGTATGATCAATAGTATGGCTAATGCTCTCCTTTACATTCATGCGCTCACGATGATTAAAAAACAATTGGTGCATTTCAGCGTTGCGGCTGAAATCGCATGAAATACGCCTGGGGCCTAGATGCCGCATGCATGAACATCCCGTCATGAAAGGGCACAGCTTAGAACAAAGGTTTATTTCCAAGTGTTTTTATTTGTCTCTACTACAAACACAATGATTAGGAGCGCATTGTCGAAAGCCTCAATTTTTAGCTTTTCGTATTATACCCGGTAATCCGCGGTGGCCGACTATCTTATCTTCAAAGTCACTTTTGCATTCTATGATGAAGTAAATGAAAACAACTGAGTTGTACCCAACTAATCACTTAAACCCAACGGTGCTATGTTTTTTTTTCGAATTTTAGATGAGCTTCAAGTCAAAGTCAGTTTATCAAAATTCTCGATGTTCTAACAACTTTGAAAGAGTGTTTGAAAACATTTTCCAATTGCTATCTAGATCCTTTGTTTCCAACAGTTAAATAGGCCCAAATTGACAGTGATTGCAGCTCATTCAAGTCTCTAGGTGTATGGATTTTCGAAGAGCACATCTTAGAATTGAGGTGTCAATTGGCACGTAGAAAGACGTTGACAGTAGCGGAAAAGATAGCTTATCAATTTATGTTTTCGGCTGAGTAAACGAACCGCTAAAAATGACGGCCAGCAAAAATGGCTGAAGCATTTTTTTTTTGAAAAGTGCAATGAAGTCGCTATACTGCAAAGCACTTTTGGATGCAGTCTGCTAATTAGCAAGCTATACTCGTTAATTACTATTTGCCTTCAACTGCTCTAAACCAAAAGAAAAAGGTTGAGAGAAAATTTTTCACACTGATATTTATGGCTAAATGTCGGTCTTCACTGTAGGAGTGTTTCATCTATTTATATCAGATAATAAAAGTCACTGTTAACTAGAAGTTCATTTTATTTATCAAAAACTTTAATTCTTAGTTGATCAAGAAATCGCTTTTATTGATTTGAGAAGGCAATAAGGCTTGAGACGTGGCTTAGGGTAGTATACAATTCCAATCAAAAGCGGAATTCACTCTTTCTTAGATGGCATACTGAATATCTTTCGACTTTTGAAAATTCCGAACAAAGATCTATTTCTCGTTACAAGTGCATACATCATGCGTAGACATAGGATCTAAATTAAGTAATTCTTGAATCGGTCTACCTTACACTTTTTCCTGAATAGACTCTTGATTTCTTAATTTCTTATGCTTTTGCCAAACGTTTCGAGGACAAAATTTCTAGAAATAGGCAAAATTGTTTTAAAAAGACAGATAAATTTCAAACGGAAGTAAAATGATAAGAATTTGTATTCACGAAACTGACGATCACACCATTCTTAATTTTTTTTTGAGTTTTTCAAAAGGCATTTCAGGAGTGCAAAAGACAGCTTTGTAAGTGCTGAGATAGTCAGTTTTGACATTCTTGGACTACAAGTGTGCTTTTACCAAATAATACATTTTTTGCAAATTATTTCGCTAATCGACCCATAACAATCGTGCTTGGATGTTTTTCTATGCGATCTTATTGTTAGAATGCAATAATATTGAACAAATTGTCGTGGGACGGAGTCTTTTGCTCTTGCGGAGAATGGGCTATGAATCATTTCAGGGCCGAAATAAGCTCAAGAGGTTTTTGATTTTTTGGTCGGACTTAGCGGAAAATAAGGACAAAGGAACTAGGATAGTTTAAGAGTAAGCCTGACCTTCTTCCTTCAACTACCTTGCTTTCAATACCACTAGAATCTTCGTATGCTATTCAAAATTGGGGGGGTTAGTTGTTGAATTTTCACAACCTTCATCTCTTCCGCTTCTGCGATGCATAAACGACCACTTCATGATGTCTGAAATTGCCCTAAACTACACTTTTTGGATTCAAATATTAGGTTGTTCCATAAGTTCGTCGTTTTCAATTTCGTCCTCATATCTTTGAGGGGCGATTGATTTGCGGCAAGATGCGTATATCATCTGGAAGGGCTGATTGTGCTTTTCAAAATATGTCTACTGATTTCATTGGAAAGCTGGTTCATTCAGATCTCGTAGCTTCCAAAGATGGAAATCTTGAAAGGCAAAAAAGAGCAATTTCGCCATTTGCGCGTTTTTCCTTGTGAAAAGAAGCGCTTTTGCACAGATTTTTCTGTCGATCATGAAACATGGCGCTTGCACATCAGTATGAGACAGAAAAGGATTGCATTGCTACAAAAGATCAGGGGCGAGCAGGGTATCCCTAAACAAGAGTTTTCGAAGGACGGGCGAGACTCCTACACTGAAAATTGCTGTACTAGTAGGCGATGGTCAAACATACCGTAAGCAATCCAACTGCAGCGTCTGAACCAGGTCCTACCGCAGAAAAAGCCTACCAGAGAGATCTAGTGAGTTTTTCTGCGAGACGAAACATGGCCTCATACGGCAAACGTCGTCAAAACTGTCCTGCACGATTTGACAGAATGGCACTTCAGTACCCAACGCACTCTTCAAATCTCGCTCTATCAGATTATCATTTGCTCCACTCCCTAGCAGACCTCATGAATGGTGCATGTCTCGATTTCAGTTAATAGTTTGAGCGCTATTTACATGACTTTCTTGGGACCCGGCGAGCTGCGGTTCTGAAAAATTGAGATTGAGAAGCTAACAAGAATGTGCCAAAAGGTCGTACGCTACAACGAGGATTATAATTCTTATTAATTTTCACTGTAAACTGGTAATTTTGTTGGTTTATAAAAACGCTACGAACTTATGGAACGACCTAATACAATGTCTCCGCATTCTGCAGCCCATTCAGTTCAGTAATGAGCATTGCACCATAAAGCTAAATTGGGCTTCAATGTGTCTACTAAGCCTAATTTATGCCAGAGAAGGCAAGGAGTAAACAAATGGAGATGTTCGTAGATTTGGAGCCCTAAAGGCTTTTTACTCAAAACCCTTACATGTGTATGAGAAAAATGTCCTTGGGATCTTTAGCGAAAATTATCAAATATGCTTTTGTAATCCTGTCACTGCATTTAGATATGCATATCAAGTATTCTTTTATAATATATTGGTCTTTATAAAGAAATAACTTAGAAGTTTTTTTTATCATGTGAAAAGGGGTTTGAGTGCCATCGAACTCTTTTCTCTAAGTTTTCATCTAGTAATTTCCTATCGGATTAGTTGAGTATCTTGCAATTTTTTGAAACTTGCACCCTCCTCTTCAAAATGCCTGGACTCCATAGTTTTCTCAGACTCGTTCGAGTATTCAAAATATATTATGGCATACATCGAC